GCACGGCGGACACGCACGTGCGGTGCAGCAATGAGATAAAGCGGCACGATATTCCGTATGTATGATATCACAGTTTTGAATTATTCATTATACAGTTAATACACAATACAATAAATATGCTTAAATAACATTTCAGTAGCTGTTCAAATAGCCTCCTTGAACAGAGACATTGATTCGTCTTATTTATTTGTTGTCTTTTAGCGTAAATCAACAAACACGTCAACATAATTTAAATGAAAATTCAATGAAATATTAACTAATGACAGATTTCATTATCAGACATTAAAAACAAAACAAACTAAATTAGGACAAACTATGAACAAAAGCAAAGTTTACACTGAGACCCCTGTAAATGTACACGACAAAGACCATGTGTTTCGGAAGTGTAAGCGTCTTTTGCTTAATCGACGACACCGGAATGTCAATTCAAGTAAGTAATGTCACGTTCTTAAATAAGAACAAGGTATACAACAAGAGAACCAACAGGCAAACTAACCAGCATCAGACACATCTAGTGTCATATCACATAAAAAATGGCATATTTCTAAATGAGATTACTATGACGACTGTAATTTTCACCAACCTTGAAAGACTCAAATTAAACACCAATATTGACAAGCACTTTCATTATTAAAAGGGAATTCAGCCTGTTCTATGACAACACCTTTTTGCTGCCATTTCCATCCGAGTACTTAAGAAGCACTATAGAACCTTTCTTACCTTACTCATTTCAGAATATTATATTGTCTTTATTGTCATTGTTTCTGATAAAAGGAATTGGGCAACAGGCAAAAGACCTCTCTCCTTGCTATTACAAACAAATATACACATCAGTCAAATAACGGATCAATACAGTGATAAATACATAATACTAGCATGTTTAGTGGTTATGATGTCACTCAATTACTGGGGAAAGAGTCAGCCCGAAAGTCTACTAGCATGGAAGGCAACAGTGACACATTATCCCTACATTATCACCCTCATTTGCTGAATCCATACAGATAACAAGCAGACAAAAACCTGACACAATAACGTACTGTTATGAACGGGATATTTACGTAAAATAGACGGTATCAGTAAAGAATCTCTAAATCAACTCAAGTATGGAAATATTCGTAACTGCATCTAGCTCATGGCGGCCATTTAGAAATGTTTGAATGTTTAGATGAATACAATCCTCAGGTCAGAGAGAGAGCATTACCTTTATAAATGGCTATCATATATGAAAATTTAAAAAAATAGTATTATAATCAGTTCTGAAAAAGGGAAACGGGGGAGTATATTTAACTATAAAATATTTTCGATTGCTTTTAATGGCAAATTGAAATTTTGAAATTAGGCCTCTAAGCGTATCTATCATTCATCTTATAAGTTTCACTTTGATAAAACCACTTCAAAGGCATTGATATGAATTGTTGAATATGATATCACATGCTTCAGCAATCATTGGCTGGCCTGCAAATCATGTAAGGTGGATGGAAAGATCATATTGATCTGATAAACATTGTTAAGGGCAGGCTCCAAGATTCAATTATGATCTGTCGGTCATTCACGTTTAACACTTGTTCCGGCGTTCTACCGTACTCGTTAACGGAGAGGAATACTTTTTATTTGAAATAATTCATAATCGAGAAAAAAGACACTACTGGTTTTCACTTACAACTGCAAACACGTCAACAGAATCTTAACAGATTTTGATAAAACCAGGGCAAACTACGAACAAAAGAAAGATTTACACGGATGCTCCTGAATAAGTCTATAAGGAGAATAAGTCTAGGTGTTTCGGAAGAATAAGCGTCTTCTGCGACAATCGCCATATAAACCTTGGTCAAAACAAGTAAGGTATTGTTACGTTCTCAAATGAAGGTATACAATAACGAAACTAGCAGACAAACTTACGTGCATCAAACACGTTCAGGTTCATATCACACAAGTTAACTCTCTTAGGATAAAATCCAAGATTATTAAATAGTCACATTCGTTTTGGAGAGACCGCTGTTTGTTTTAAATCTAGACTTTGATTATAAAATATCCATTTTTACGTTGTAAAACATTTACTGGAGTAATAGTTCGCAGAATTAATTATAAAGTTAAAGTTTGAGAGCTTTCTTAAATAATTGTCACACATGTGAATATCTCATTTCAATACAAAGCTAGAATGAGATATAGCGAAGTCAAAACATTAATTAAACTGCATCATATAACCGGTGATCAATTCACGCAGGAATTGGAGACTTCAATGGAATTTTTAAAATTTGATAATTGACCGTGAAACCATATTTAATTTTGATAATGGATACTTAGATAGATACGGCCAGACAGAGAAGGTAAGGCAAATGTTGTATGGTACTTCATCCGATGGCAAGCTGCTATCATGTAAGACACGGACGGTTGGAGGAAACATAAATTTTGTACTAAGACACCAATGATATTTCTGATTAAACCATACGTTCATATCAGTATCCACACTTTCCTGGTATGATTTTGCAAGGATATGCAAAGTATCTAACTCAAACTTCACTTCTTTAGTTGTCGTAAAATGGTCATGACGTCATATCTGATGTTCCACACATACCCTCCTAATCCATATGCTCATAGAACCAGATGATTGAATAACACTGTAGTCATTTATGGAATGTTCCGTTTTGCAACAAAGTACTTAACCCAGTGTTTAATAATGGTGTACTAAGGATATCCTATAATAAGATACATCGATTACCCGGGAGAAGAAGCTGGCATGTTGTGGAGTCTGTTGTCTGATACGGTAGACCCCTATCAGCGAAAGCGACCATATCATGAAATGTCACGACTGCCTTCTAATTTTATATGCTAAATACACGCTATTTTGAAATTTTACTTCGTTATTGTATCATAACGTGATGTTTTAAGTTAAATTGTCATGATGATGGGTTAACATGTCTTTGCATTGGGTCATGTTAATCTAACTCAACACTAGGACACGTTAAAACAACATCAGGGCATCATAATTCAACACTAGGATATGTTAACACAACACCAGGGCATGTTAACTCAGCACCAGGACACCTTAACATAACACCAGGGCATGTTAACTCACCACCAGGACACCTTAATATAACACCAGGGCAAGTTAACTCAACACTAGGACATGTTAACACAACACCAGGACATGTTAACTCAACACTAGGACATGTTAACACAACACCAGGACATGTTAACACAACACCAGGACGTGTTAACAAAACACCAGGACACTTTAACACAACAGCAGGACATGTTAACACAACACCAGGACGTGTTAACACAACAGCAGGACATGTTAACTCAACACCGGGACATGCTAACTCAACGCCGGGACATGTTAACTCAACACCAGGACATGTTAACTCAACACCAGGACATGTTAACTCAACACCAGGACATGTTAACTCAACACCGGGACATGTTAACTCAACACCAGGACACGTTAACTCAACACCGGGACATGTTAACTCAACACCAGGACATGTTAACCCAACACCGGGACATGTTAACTCGACACAGGGACATGTTAACTCGACACAGGGACATGTTAACTCGACACCGGGACATGTTAACTCAACACCGGGACATGTTAACTCAACACCAGGACATGTTTACTCAACACCGTGACTTGCAGTCTCAGCACCGTGACCTGCCGTCTCAGCACCACTACATAATAAATCAACAGCAGGAAATGGTGACTTACCGCCTAACATTTTGACTCAATACCGGGACATAATGTCTCAACACCTCGCATGTTAGCTCTACCGTAGGACATGATAATTAAGCAAGAGGACAAGTTTAACCAATACCATGACATATTAACTCAACACCATGCATGTTAACTCAACACCAGTTATGTTAACTCAAAATCAGGACCTGTTTATTAAACACGAGGACAAGTTTACTCAACACTTGGCATATTAATTATTATTTCATAAATATAAGGTATGTTTGTTCGTATTACGTAAACAATTGTCTTTTTGGGTAAAAATCAAATTGATTATTTAAAGTTTAGTAAATCTAGGTCAAAATATCAACAAAAGGAAGATTTTCACGGAGACTTCTGAGACAGTACAAAGAGAATAAGACCAGGTGTTCCGGAAGAGTAAGCACCTTCTATCTAGGAACACAAAACAACGGTAACAGAAGTAACAAGGGCTGATATGAAAAACACGTGTTAATGGAGATATTTCATATTGTGATATAACAATATCCGCAATAATTTTAAATGTTGGGTAGGATGTTTTTGTATAAGATATTGTGTAGACATTATATCACGTGCTTTTCACGGGGAACCTTTCGGCAAAGTTTAACAATTGCATTATTACTATATCATCGAAAATCGATGTTTTTGCTAGTGTTGAAATATACATTTTGTATAAGTTTTAAGAGAGAGCTAATAAAATATGCTGTAATTTATCTCTTATCATAAATAAATGCATGGTAATGAATATCGACACCAATTGCTATTTATTTATTTGAATGAAAAAATTAGAGTCAATCTATAAAAATAGATGTAGAAGAAAGTGGCAATTTAAGCTCTATGGTTTAAACCCATATAACCGTCAATTTTAACAAGTCAAGTCGATTGCAGTTTGTTTTCATAGTGAATGCAACACACTATTCAAATATGAAAGACTCAAGTAGTCAGTTTCAAAACAAACAAAAAAACAAAAAAAAACTTTTCGCTTTTCTTTGAATTCAATGAGTTCTGAATAAAAAACAAAAAAAAGTTCATTGTTGATTTCATATTTGTTTAAAAATCACAATCAGAACAAGGAGGGAACAGAAACAGTATGATTCGTGTGGGTGTAACAGCATACAATTCAAAAATACGTATACCAACATTTTTTAGATAAAACATTTTAGAATATATATTTAATCATAGAACAAACTTTAGCAAAATACTCACGGAGCTGAAAACAAAACGTGAAAAAGACATTTGTCGTCATGGATCAATGCTCCTGAAAATATCATTGCTACTAAACCGGAAGTTATCATTCATTGGTTGAACCCATTTCCGTTAGCCATTGACGAACCCTTCCTTCTTTTACAGCTAATTCATCAGTTACCATAGTAACCATGGACGATGCAAATCCATCGTCTGACTCCTCGAAGTCCGTCTTGACCTTTGTTAGATCCCTATCGACCCCTGATAGGGAGCCTAGGTCAGGAAAACTTCCGTCCGTACTAGAATTGCTTTGATTGACAAATAGTTGTTGTCCACATTCATTATGTAAGTTGTTTACCGATTTAGTACATCTTTGCACTTGAGTTTCATAAATGTCGTTTGGTTTTTCTGGATTTGATACGTATCGGCGAAGCAGACTCTGTTTATGTTTTATTAGTTCAAGTTTATCTGAAAATTGAGTGCTATCGGATGAGGAATCGTTTGAAATTAGACCCACACTCCTTGCCGTATACTCACTTGTCAGTGACACAGCACTCCCAACCCGACTTCCTGGGCCAAGTTTAGCAGGGAGAGTGTTGGGGTCATATGACTCTAACCAGTTCTGGTCATCGTCACATTGGCCAGAACTATGGTATTGATGGAAAGACCGCCGAGGAAGTCTCGGAGAACAATAGATATCTATAACATTTCTCGACTCAGTTTCTCTTCCATTACAATTAATGGCATTTCCGCTGGAAGATTTGCTGGAAGCTCCGGACCCACCGGCCATACACGTAGCCAGCTCACCAGCTGATCGAGAATGGGGTATCGTGGTGGTAGAGTTAGCGTCTGCTTTCTCGTCCGCGTTTAGGACAATCTGAGGAACTGCCGGTATAAACAGAGATTGTACGCCTTTGCGATCCGCGGTAGTAGAGGTTTTTCTGGTTTGTGATAACGACATTTTGACTATTCAGATATATCTCTCAATGTATTCTTAAAATGATGCTAGGTCGCTGTTGTCATTTCCCACGATGGCTGGTAATCCAGAGAATTTTCAAATTCCAAAACGCACACACAACCGGAATTATATTCATGGATCCTCAACATGCTTACTCGTCAAATTCCCTTCAAATGTTTCATTATAAAATACACGATTATTAAAGATCTTTATACAAGAACGCTGTATTCATTTCCAGTGCATAGATCTTTCCGTATAAATCCTGAAATCTGCTTTTCATATCACAACACTGTACAGTAGTTTTCGAAGCCACAACATTTCTCCGGCAATAGCCAGAATCAATACTATTTTTCCCAGTGAATTCCCTGTTCTAAAACCACGTCCTGAAGTTGGTAGCAGACGACACATCTGCCGTCCAAATATTTGGTGATCTCCAGCAGGAACTATATCGAGTAGACAGTTTCTTTCATCCCGAATTGTCGCTTGCGATCGATGGTGCCAAGCTGTTTAAATGTTCCGCTGCTTTTCTTGGCACATCTACTGTTGTTCCTACAGCATCGTGTTTAGGAAAAAAGAAACAAAACTTCATAAATTGAGATAAATCATCTCCATGTTTAAATTTTGCATGACCATCGACGACAAATAATGTTATTTCTCCTCTCAAAATGCGAACAAATCGATGGTTCTTTGTGAAAACCAACCAAACAATTGCCTTGGAACGAAATCAATTAGGCAAGTTATAGCTGTCGTGTTCGACGATCGGAGCGCCCCCTGTAGGCCGTATTGATTGTTCTGTGATATTATTGATCACAGACCAAGGGCAGAAGGCCTACACGTTGGTATGGTGGGCGAGGAAAGGTATGGCAGACGGAAGTATGACAACCGATTGTTAGAGTTTGGTGGGGTATTGCTGTATGAGTGTGAGTTAAACAATGGCCTGGCCGATTCAGAAAGTGCAAATATTGATTGCAGTTTCCATACCAAAAACTGTATATTTGCAAATTAGAAAGATGTCCGTTTAGCCTGCAAACACCAGAGACATAGTTCCCAACCAGGGTAAACTTACTCCATTTCTCTCTTAAAGAATACTTTTTGTGGTTTTCATGAAACCAACAAACCCTCAAGTGTTCATTTTAGATGACCTGATGTTTAACACGCATCACGTGCCGCTAGATATCCGCCTCGTTTTGAGTACTCCTTCGATTATGTTGGTTTTCTTGATGAGCACGATCAATACACGAAAAAAAAGCTTTGATTCATTAGTATCAGGTAGATTGGTCTAAAGCAGCTCTATAGAGAGAACAGTAAAAAGGTAGGTGTATTGTCATTAACGCGTGGCTGTTAAGATAACTCAATTGATATGACTCACAATAACCCAGAAAAAAATATTGTTTGTGCTGAAATAACATCGTTTGATCATTTCCCTGAAATTGATTACCGTAAATATTGTTATTTTTGTTAAATTAATTTTGCGGAACAAAGAAAATCATAGTCCATTTTACGACTGCCGTGAAAAATAAATATTTTTTCAAATCAAATTTTTGGTAAAACTGCAAAATTTTAAACCATTGAAGAAAACAGTTTATACAGTATTTGTGTTTTATTGCAGTTTGTTTCACTGCTGTCTGTTGGACGTTATGATGACACTATAGAAAGCGCGCGACAGTGCCCTTATCATCGCTTAACACCGATTTCATCTAAACCTGGCTTTCACGAGAACGTAAACCACGAAACAAATAAATTAGATAAAATGTATCTGGGATTCCGATACAGATATGGAATATCCGTGATTTGGTTCGTAATTCTAAACACTCTGAAAAACTTGGTTGGGATTTTTATCATCAATTGCAACTTTTTTCTCATGGGCATGGTTCGGCGAAACGTTGGTCCTCATGAAAATTTACGGGGGTTTTTTTATTGAAGATTTCTAATGAATTGTAAAGTTGTGCACTTAATACCCCTGTGGATGGTGAATGTAATTGTTTAATCATGCAAATATGAAATTCGTAAATGTTCTTATCAAGGGAAGGGGCCTTATTCTAGTTGTGGGGTAAGCATATAGTAGTACTGAGTGTAAAGACATAAAACCCGGGGTGAAAAATTCAATAAAATCATTTGTTATAAACAGTCAAAATTACAAGCAATCCATATGTCTGTCAATACAAAATCTATATACTTTGTATGCAGTATCAATCTCTGTACAATACACAAAGTGGATACAAGGAATGATACAATACACAAAGTGGATACAAGGAACAATACAGTATGGATGTCTGTACAATACACAAAGTGGATACCAGGAATGATACAGTATCGATGTCTGTTGATACCGTGTACAATACACAAAGTGGATACAAGGAATGATACAATACACAAAATGGATACAAGGAACAATACAGTATCGATGTCTGTACAATACACAAAGTGGATACCAGGAATGATACAGTATCGATGTCTGTTGATACCGTGTACAATACACAAAGTGGATACAAGGAATGATACAGTATCGATGTCTGTTGATACCGTGTACAATACACAAAGTGGATACAAGGAATGATACAGTATCGATGTCTGTTGATACCGTGTACAATACACAAAGTGGATACAAGGAATGATACAATACACAAAGTGGATACAAGGAATGATACAGTATCGATGTCTGTTGATACCGTGTACAATACACAAAGTGGATACAAGGAATGATACAGTATCGATGTCTGTTGACACCGTGTACAATACACAAAGTGGATACAAGGAATGATACAATACACAAAGTGGATACAAGGAATGATACAGTATCGATGTCTGTTGATACCGTGTACAATACACAAAGTGGATACAAGGAATGATACAGTATCGATGTCTGTTGATACCGTGTACAATACACAAAGTGGATACAAGGAATGATACAGTATCGATGTCTGTTGATACCGTGTACAATACACAAAGTGGATACAAGGAATGATACAATACACAAAGTGGATACAAGGAATGATACAGTATCGATGTCTGTTGATACCGTGTACAATACACAAAGTGGATACAAGGAATGATACAATAGACAAAGTGGATACAAGGAATGATACAGTATCGATGTATGTTGATACCGTGTACAATACACAAAGTGGTGTACAATACACAAAGTGGATACAAGGAATGATACAGTATCGATGTCTGTTGATACCGTGTACAATACACAAAGTGGATACAAGGAATGATACAGTATCGATGTCTGTATACCGTGTACAATACACAAAGTGGATACAAGGAATGATACAGTATCCATGTCTGTTGATACCGTGTACAATACACAAAGTGGATACAAGGAATGATACAATACACAAAGTGGATACAAGGAATGATACAATACACAAAATGGATACAAGGAATGATACAGTATCGATGTCTGTTGATACCGTGTACAATACACAAAGTGGATACAAGGAATGATACAATACACAAAGTGGATACAAGGAATGATACAGTATCGATGTCTGTTGATATCGTGTAGAATACACAAAGTGGATACAAGGAATGATACAATACACAAAGTGGATACAAGGAATGATACAATACACAAAGTGGATACAAGGAATGATACAATACACAAAGTGGATACAAGGAATGATACAGTATCGATGTCTGTACAATACACAAAGTGGATACAAGGAATGATACAGTATCGATGTCTGTATACCGTGTAAAATACACAAAGTGGATACAAGGAATGATACTGTATCCATGTCTGTTGATACCGTGTACAATACACAAAGTGGATACAAGGAATGATACAATACACAAAGTGGATACAAGGAATGATACAATACACAAAATGGATACAAGGAATGATACAGTATCGATGTCTGTTGATACCGTGTACAATACACAAAGTGGATACAAGGAATGATACAATACACAAAGTGGATACAAGGAATGATACAGTATCGATGCCTGTTGATACCGTGTACAATACACAAAGTGGATACAAGGAATGATACAGTATCGATGTCTGTTGATATCGTGTACAATACACAAAGTGGATACAAGGAATGATACAATACACAAAGTGGATACAAGGAATGATACAGTATCGATGTCTGTTGATATCGTGTACAATACACAAAGTGGATACAAGGAATGATACAGTATCGATGTCTGATACCGTGTACAATACACAAAGTGGATACAAGGAATGATACAATACACAAAGTGGATACAAGGAATGATACAGTATCGATGTCTGTTGATACCGTGTACAATACACAAAGTGGATACAAGGAATGATACAGTATCGATGTCTGTTGATATCGTGTACAATACACAAAGTGGATACAAGGAATGATACAGTATCGATGTCTGTTGATACCGTGTACAATACACAAAGTGGATACAAGGAATGATACAGTATCCATGTCTGTTGATACCGTGTACAATACACAAAGTGGATACAAGGAATGATACAATACACAAAGTGGATACAAGGAATGATACAATACACAAAATGGATACAAGGAATGATACAGTATCGATGTCTGTTGATACCGTGTACAATACACAAAGTGGATACAAGGAATGATACAATACACAAAGTGGATACAAGGAATGATACAGTATCGATGTCTGTTGATACCGTGTACAATACACAAAGTGGATACAAGGAATGATACAATACACAAAGTGGATACAAGGAATGATACAGTATCGATGTCTGTTGATACCGTGTACAATACACAAAGTGGATACAAGGAATGATACAGTATCGATGTCTGTTGATACCGTGTACAATACACAAAGTGGATACAAGGAATGATACAGTATCGATGTCTGTTGATACCGTGTACAATACAAAGTGGATACAAGGAATGATACAGTATCGATGTCTGTATACCGTGTACAATACACAAAGTGGATACAAGGAATGATACAGTATCGATGTCTGTTGATACCGTGTACAATACACAAAGTGGATACAAGGAATGATACAGTATCGATGTCTGTTGATA